AATTAGAAACTTTTTGACAGTATAAGAAATGCAACTCGCCTCAGTCGCTAGCTCTGGTTAAGTCGCAGCCTCCTGTCGGCCGCATAACGGAGGAACGAAGACGCAGAAAATATGTCAGCTTCTGGCTGTAGCGTATTTACATGCAGCGCCGTTTCTGCGGGGCATTTATTTCGAGAATCGGTTTCGAAGCAACAGAGAACAGCTTTCGACTAATAGAAGAGTTCCTATGAGTGACGACGATCAATGAATTATAAAGAAACAGATAGAAACAGAAAGTTTTCAACCGTCTAAATGTGGCTGTGCCGAAAATTTCGCTGAGGGACGAAATTCACAGCATCATTGTCCAGTGGCTTGGCGTGTAACATCTTACGTATTTCTTGAGGTCATCACCTCGAGCCGTTTATATAAGCACAACATCTCTGGAGTTTGAGATAGTCAGCTGCATCCGCAGCTCGTCACCACCTTTGCTTTCTGAGAAACTCACCGCCTGAAGTAAATGGCGTATGCTCACAACCAGTTACTCTAACAGGACCAATCGCCTTTTCTTAATTTCCACGTCTACCGAAGTCGCCTGTGGCCGGAAGAAAACGGAACCATTCCTTACGTGGTCCTGCCATATAGCCCTTACTATGCGTATGCGTGTAAGCCAACGCTGTTGTGTGCCGTTCAACTGTCGTCTATGTTTCTTCCTTAGAATAACTGTCTGTATGAGGTAAAACGGCACTTACCTGACGGAAACGAGGTACAGACGAATTTGTTGGAAAGAGACTTCTTTCACAGCTCAAATAACGAACAGAAGGCATTCAACGCTACGATGATCCTCCTATTTAGCGGAACTGGTGACGGGTAATAATCTCCCTTATTCCTGTCGTTAGCCAAGAACGCCGTAGGTTCGAGCAATATTTACAGCGATGTCTCCGATGCGGCTGCAATCGGTGCAATGTGCGGTACGTTGAAAAGATGAAAGGCAAGAAATCCGGTTCGGATTCGTCGACGACGACGAATTTGGTACTCCACCGACTGAGATGATCTGAACTAACGTTCCGTTTATTCATGAACGCCGTTAGACATCAAGGATAATGGATAAAGTCTTGGCCAGGTGTGGAACAAGCAATTCGTCGCCGAACACTCGGCTTCTTCTGCGAATCGCCAGTCGATGCTTTTCGTCTCGATCTTCCTCATAGACATTAATTCGTCTTTTGAGTGTACCCCTAAGTTT